TTTTTTTTCTTAGTTCTCCTCCCCCCTCTGCATGCATGCATGCAGTTGCATGCGGCTAAAAAAGCCCAAAAAAACCCCCGTGGATGCATGCGCTGCATGCAGCCCCAGCAGGGAGTGAGTGGTGCTGCAGCACATAGTATATATAGAGTCGATTGCTTTCTCTCTTTTTGTATATCTATATCTTTATAAACTAAACATACACCAGCCCCTGTGTTGCCGATGAGTTTATAGTTATAGAGACAGGGGGGGAGGGGTAGTAAGTTTTGTTTTTAGTTTTTTATTGAAGTATTTATATGTTGTGCAGTATACTGGGCTCCTCAGCTAGCTACGTAGCTAGCTGGCTAGCTAGCGGCGACAGCTTGTGGTGTATATACAGCATGTCTCGCCCCTAGACACAGAAATATTTCATGAATTAAACTAAATTATAACTGTATAATTCAATAAAAACAAAAAAAAAGAAAAAAAATCAATAAAAACAGAAAACTACGCTGCACGGCGCGGGCATCGAGGGAGCTGCATATACACCCGGGCGTATGTGCATGTACACCCCAGCATATAGCCGTTTGTTTAAAAGCAATTTTAACCAAATAGAGTAAATAAAACACAAATTAAATAAATAAAATAAAAAAGAATTACGAGGGTTGCAACTAAAAAAAAAAGGGGGGTGCTGGGGTGTACATACACCGCAGCAGCTGACTGCGGCGACCGGCGACCGCAGCAGCAGCCCCGCAGCTGCATGCACGTATTGAGTGTGTGTATTTATGTATTTATATTTATAAATATTAATTATTTTTGCATTATTTGTTGAAAAAAAACTTAAATTTATTTATTTATATAGGGAAGGAAACAAAACCCCTTATTAAGGAGAGGGTTTATGTGCTGCAGCAGCTGCTGTTGTTCTGTGTGCAGCAGCAGCAGCAGCAGCAGCAGCAGCAGCAGCAGTATTTTTGTTGCTTTTGTTGCTGCTGTTGCTGTTCTTCTTTTTTTTTTTAGTTTTATATTACAACAGCATCGCATTGACACGAAATATAAACTTAAAAAACCCCAATAAAGACGAAGAACCCCCCAGACCCTAAACCCTAAACCCTAAACCCTAAACCTCGAACTACATACAAACCCTAAACCCTAAACCCTAAACCCTAAACCCTAAACACCATGGCCCTGAAGCAACCTATAAGCCAAGTACGCCTCACTAATGTTGCTGTTGTTCGGCTAAAGCTGGGGGGAGAGAGGTTCGAGATTGCCTGCTACAAAAACAAAGTCCTTAACTGGAGAGAAGGTAAACCCTAAACCCTAAACCCTAAACCCTAAACCCTAAACCCTAGACTGGAAAGGAGACAGATATAAACCCTAAACCCTAAACCCTATTGAAGACTCGGCAAATACAACACACAAACCCTAAACCCTAGATTCCTGATGCAGGGGAGAAGGGTTTATATTGAGAGGGGCATGCAAGGAAGGGCTAGGGTTTAGGGTTTAGGGTTTAGGGTTTAGGGTTTAGAGGGTGTGTTTCCTTCTCTTTTAGGGTGATGTTTGGGGCTGCATGCGTTCTGTATTTCTGGTGATGAGTTGATGTTATTTATTTTATTTTATTATTTTATTTTATTTTATTTTATTTTGTTTTATTTTGTTTTATTTTATTTTGTTTTATTTTATTTCGTTTTATTTCGTTTTATTTTATTTTATTTTATTTTATTTTATTTTATTTTATTTTATTTTATTTTATTTTA